CAGACTAGTACTTCAGTGGAGAGAGTCCTCTCTCCTCACGACGGGAACTGGGGTCAGTCTCCAAGGCCTCCTTGACACTGCTAAGACAGTGTATGCATTTATCAAGTTCATAAACCCCTGCTGGCGTGTCATCTATAGCTCCGATTGCTTTAGCCCACGTGCACTCCCGGGCAGCATGCATGTGTGCAACTCCCCAGTGGGAGGAGATGTGGGGGCAGGAGGGACTCGTGCCCTGCCTGCCACACCTGGCTGGACAGAAAGGGCACAGTGCAAGCGAATGTCGCTGACCTGGTGTTGATTTGTGTTTTTCCATTTCATTTTTATTTTGTTTTATTTTTAAATATATTTTATTGATTTTTTACAGAGAGGAAGGGAGAGAGCTAGAAATGTCGATGAGAGAGAAACAACTACCAGCTGCCTCTTGCACAATCCCTACCGGGCATGTGCCCGCAACCAATGTACATGTCCTTGACCGAAATGGAACCTGGGGCCTTTCAGTTCGCAGACCAACGCTCTTCCACTGAGCCAAACCAGCTTCAGCTGTGTTTTTCCACTTAACTTTTAGAAGTCTTTTCAAAAAGACTTCTAAAAGTTAAGTCCAAACAACAGCAGACAGACCCTAGCTGTGACCCTAACACGCCCCCGGCAGCTGTGTGTTAACCGAGGGGCGCAGAGCAGTGGCCTGTGTCCTGTGGAACTCTGCCGCGTCCTCCTGTCTTTTAAGAGACTGCTCTGTTTTTACTAAGAAGGAGAATGGAAATGTGCTGGGCAACACTTGTCTTTATCAACACTCCATTTTAGCAAGTAGTGAGCCTCCGGCGGCAGCAGCCCATGTCAGATGCTCTATAAACTACAGTCACAGTCCAAATACCCCAGGAACAGTGACTGTGCCAGTGCTGGGGTTGTAACTGAGGCCAGACTGAGTCACTGACCTTCAGTGTCATTCTTTATTCAGTGAACAAGACGTCCCGCCAACCGCAGTGAGACGGGACGGACGTCCCGCCAACCACGGTGAGACGGGACGGACGTCCCACTAACCCAGTGAGACAGGACGGACGTCCCGCCAACCCAGGGAGACGGGACAGATGTCCCACCAACCACGGTGAGACGGGACGGACGTCCCACTAACCCAGTGAGACAGGACGGACGTCCCGCCAACCCAGGGAGACGGGACGGACATCCTGCCAACCGCGGTGAGACGGGACGGACGTCCCACTAACCCAGTGAGACGGGACGGACGTCCCGCCAACTGCAGTGAGAAGGGACGGACGTCCCGCCAACCCAGTGAGACAAGACAGAGCCCAGAAACAGTGCCTGGAGCTCACAGGTGGGGGCAACTCAGGTCTTTTGTGCAGCTTAATCAAGTCAAGAAGCCCGGTGTCTGGTCACCCCGGTCCTGTTCGGCCAGCAGGGCTTTTCTGGCCGTTCTCCTATTTCATTTTTAGATGTTCTTCGCTATGAAATCAACTCTTACACATTTCCTACTTGACGTGTTTTACCATATTACATATTTGCCCCACCTTAGTCCCTGCAAGTTATGTGCTGAGTCCTTTACTTTGTATTGAAATGTTTGTAAGACTTGCCTAAGGTGTTTGATTTTACTTGCAGAGAACTCTCTGATCCATTTTCAAATTGTTGTTCCAGCTTTTCTTACCTTTCACCACCTTTAATCAATTTAAGTAATTTTTCATGGTTATCGCCATAAATTTGCTTTTTTAGTATCAAATATTTGTGATAGTGAAAATGAATGCAGAGCACGAGCTGGTTTGGCTCAGTGGATAGAGAGTCAGGCTGTGTACTGAAAGGTCACAGGTTCAATTCTGGCCAAGGGCACATGCCTGGGTTGCGGGCTTGATCCCCATTTAGGAGCGTGCAGGAGGCAGCCAATCAATGATTATCTCTCATCATTGATATTTCTCTCTCTCCCCTCCTCTGTGAAATAAATAAATAAATAAATAAATTTTAAAATAAAATGAATGCAGAGAAAAGGAATGTGTATAGAGGTGCTTTGACATTACAAAAAGGACCCTGTTAACTTTCATGGTTTCTTAAAATTTGTATTTTTTTGTGAAACTTAGATGAAACATAGTGTTAATGAAGAAGTTAATGTTCCCTGTTGCATTTAAGATAAGAGCTTTGACATTTCTGCAAAAGTATTTGGACTGGGTGGTCCAGAGCTAGTATTGCCAGATTTAGTACACAAATACGTTTCACCTAGTTAAATTTGACTTCAGATAACAAATGCACTTTTAAATATAGACATGTGCTATGCAGTATTTTATACTCTGAATAGAACAATATTTGGGACATACTTACACTGAAAACTTAATTGGTGTATGTCTGAAATTCAGACTTACCAGGTGTGTGGTGCTCCCTCAGGCCGCGCAGGGTCCTCCTCACATCAGGCTCCATGTCACCTTCCATTTGTTGAGATGCTTTTCCACAGTGACTTCCATCTTGGCATTCCTTCCTTGATATACACTCTTAGGCCAAAAATCACTTTTTATTTATTTATATATATCTTATTGATTTTTTACAGAGAGGAAGGGAGAGGAACAGTTAGAAACATCAATGAGAGAAATATCCATCAGCTGTCTCTTGCACCCCTCCTACTGGGGATGTGCCCGCAACCACGGTACATGCCTTTGACTGGAATCGAACCTGGTACCTTTCATTTCACAGGCCAATGCAAAATCGGCTAGGGCCTAAATCACTTTTGTATTTTCTTTCTTCTTCCCTATTCTCTCCTTCCTTTTTTTTTTTGGAAAGAGGACAAATAATCTAGGATATTTAAGTAATGTGTGATTAGTTCTCACACTACCTTTACAGTGTGAAATATCAGAGGGAATAAATACCCTATATTGAAACTTTGTAAAGATAATGTAAAAGAAGAATGTAAAGATGGCATTAGTTGCCCACAGGTAGTTTAATATATTAGTGACCTGCAAACAATAAATGTTCTTGTAAACATGGTTTTGGAGGAGACAAATGCCAGGAGGTGGTGGGGGATACTGTTTCCTGAGTGAAGAGGTGTGGCCCCGCCCCGGTGAGCAGGGCCCTATCCCCAGGGGTGCTGCATGCTCCGCTGAACAGTGGGGGGGTAAATCCATGAGGGTGCAAAGACTCCAGGGCTGGTACCTGGAAGCTAGAAGGAATAATGGAATAAATGCACCAAAATGTTTTTCAGAAAGCATGTCTTTAAGATGCTAATAGTTGTGGCGTATTATGGGTAAGTTTCAGCACTATGTCTGTTAAATTTGACTTTGTAAAATACCAATATAATTGGCTGTGAAGATGGGAAGGTAGGACTCAGTGCTTCATCCAGGAAGCTCGTGTTTTCCTGCACTGCAGGAGGGCATGGTTCCCTGTGGCCTGACCTGGGTCCCCAGATCAAGGGAGCAGAGAGAGGTTTCCATGAATTAGGTGCGTGGCCAATGATCCTATTTCCTTCTGTCCAGCAGTTAACCAGGGCGTCTTCATCTTCTGAGCCAAATCCTGCTCTGCGGGACCTCCTCCCTGAGCACCCTGACACAGCCAGCCAGAGTTAAGGAACTGGCTACTTCCTGCTGGTTCAGAAGGTGGTTATCAGGGCGTGAAGGGAGGTTTTAAAGTGCCACCAGGTGTCACCGCTCAGTGGGCAAGACACAGCCCAGTTAAAAAGCTCTGCTCTAGACCCTGAGAGGCTTGCACTGATGCTGTGGGTCTGCATGGCCAAAGGTCCTGGATGGCTTTTTTGCTCTCCGTGGGCATGGCATCCAGGTGGTGGCCCTCCTATAGTGGCCAGAGGTACCAACCACGGACCCTTTCTCAGCACTTCCGTAGGACAGAGCTTCTGGGATGCATGTCGTAGAGAAGGTCTGTGCTCCGTGTGTGCAGGTGCTGGCCAGTGGGTGTTAAAGGGACATCTTGTCACCTATGGAAATGCTGTGGTCTTGCTGTCGGGGATGTATTGGGAACTTCCCACATTGCCCTGATTTACCATTTCAGTCCAAGTAACATTTATCCTCCTCATTCACATCACCTTTTACTTAAAGACAGGCTGACTTTTTCAGAAAACACCATTACAGTCTTAACTTTAACTACAGAATAGTTATATGATCAAATTTTGGGGGTAAAAATTTAGAAATTTGGATTTACAATTTTATGCTGCTTTATCTTTATCTCAAAATACATTTTTACTTAATATAGAACTTCAGGTCTTTTAAATAAACAGTGGCATTAGATCTTATTAGTTATATGTCATAAAACTTACAATTTACTACTGATCCCACGTCATAGAGGTTTCCAGTGGCTGGTTGGCTGTGTGCATGAGAATCTGGTGCACCGCGCACAGTGCTCACTGGGACCCGGCGATGAAGGATGGCCCTGTGACGAGGGAGAGTGGCTGGCGGGCAGTGAGGAAGAACCTTTGTGAAGGAAGTTAGTCTACTTGCCCTGGCCATTTGGCTTCAGTGGATTGAGCCCAGTCCTCGGACTGAAGGGTCCTGGGTTTGATTCCGGGCAGGGGTGCATTCCTCAGTTGCAGGCTAAATCCCCAGCACTGGTAGGGGTAGGGGCACGGGGGGGGGGGGGGGGGGGCGCGGTGGCAACCTCTTGTTGCCTCTCTCCCATAACAGTGTTTCTCTCTCTGTCTCTGCTTCCCTTCCACTCTCTAAAAATCAATGGGAAAATAGCCTGGGATGAGGATTTTTAAAATATTTTTAAAAAGAAAGACCTAAGACGTGTAGAGCTGCTGTGGGAAGTAGACCTACCTCCAGAGCTGAGACAGAGACACACTTCCTTCTTGCCTTCCTCATCCTTCTTTGAAACCAGCGTTTGCATTAACGTCTCGCTCTCTCTGTTGGCAGATAACTGACTGCTTTGTACCTAACGCTCACTCTTGTGATCACAGAATGAGACCTTCCTGTGACCTGATCTGGTGGTCTCGGCCAGGTCACAATCGCCAAGCCACATGCTCTTGGAGCCCTTTGACTTCTGACTGGTGGCCCTCTTCTGTGCAGGTCATCACCAATCTGGTGAAGATGTTGAAGTCCAGAGACACGAGGAGAAACTTCTGCCCCCCAAACCACTGGCTGTCAGAGCAGGAAGACATCAGAGCAGATAAGGTGTTACTGGAAGCCTTTGAGCATTTGTCCTTTAGACCAGTTTATTTATTATTAGGCAACTGAATGGTAACGTGAATGTGCTCATTGTAACTCTTAGGTCATTGATGGATATAGAGCATTTTCATTGACTAAAACATGCATTCTGAGTTTATTAATTTTAATTTGCTCTTTCAACCATAAATTGTGTTGAACTTTGGTGATTCTCTGTTGGGGTGGAAGAAGATTTTGCTTTTATTGGTGTCATTGGTATAGATTTAGGATTTAGAGGAAATGGAGCTCGTCCTTGGTTTTCTAAAGGAACAAATTTGAATATCAGTAACACTTAGATCTAAAGTAGTTCAGTACTATAGTTTAAAAAATTAACATTAACAGTGGACATGCAATGTCATTTTTGTCAGGAAAAGGCATGACTAGGTTCATTTCAGAATCTTGGGGATGGAGGACACGGAGTTACAAGGGGCACTGAAACACTGAAGAAAATGGTCTTTGGAACAGTTTCACAAGCATGCCTCTGCCTGCTCACTAAGTTACCCCCGTGGCTTCTGGCTCTGCCCGCAGGTGGAACCCATGACAGGTCCTATGCCAGTGAGCACGGCCAGGGCCCAGGGTGGAGCTCAGAACAGCATCTCCCTCCGGCAGTTGGTCCTAGGTCTGGGAAGCCCTGGACAAGATAGTGCTTTGTCGCTGGAGGGTGGAGCAGTGCAGAAAGTAGTGTGGGAGAGCCAGGGACCAGCGGAGGGTCTCCCTCAGGCGGGTGGTAAGGGAGGAGAATAGCAAGCATCACTCAGAACAGGTGCAGTCTGCCAGATAGCAGGTGTGCTGAGCCTGCGAGCTCCTGAGCCTAAGAGGAAAAGAGCTGCACCGGCTGCTGGTAGACGAGAAGGACCGCCCCACTGTTTTTGTTGTTCCTGCTAATCCTCACCAGAGGGTATCTTTTTCATTGATTTTTAGAGAAAGGGGCAGGGAGAGAGGAGCAGCCGTATGGGTGATGGTTAGTGTGTCCCAGTGTTACACATCAGCAAATGGAACAAGCAGAGATCTCCCTGGGATGTTAGAGAAAACAGTCACACAGTAAGTGTGCAAGGGCATGAACAGGTCGTCTGAAAAGGACATGAGGTCAGAGAGGGACCTAGCAAACTCCAGTAAACATAAACGTACACCAGCTCACATGGAATGGGAAAGGAGGGGACCAGCTCACAGCAGTACTAAGCAGGGGTGTTGATCCCCTAGGTCACTCAGCTGTACGTGCCAGCTGCCAGACATATGTGGAGGTTTCGGCGGATGGGGAGGATCGGCCCCCTGCAGTCCACCCTGGATGGTGAGCGCCCTTTAACCTCAGGCTGAGGGGAGTCGTTCACAGACCATGGCACTCATCTTTTCCATGTCCTGGTCTGTGATTTTTGTTGAACATGTACCACCAACCACCTCAAACTCCTTCGTAGCCCAGCCCCAACCCCTCCCCTGCCCTAGCAGCCTCTCGTTCCTGGTGGTCCCATAGTTCTGCCCTTTCTGGAACATCTGGAAGTTGAGCCATTCAGTGCATATCCTTGGGAGTCTGGACAGGAGGGTACGCCTGCCTAACAAAGGTTTGCACTGTGTTGCAGTGGGGTTGGAGTCGCCTGCCCTGTCTGTATCTGAGGAGAGACAGCTTGCCATCCTGACAGAGCTGCCCTTCGTGGTTCCATTTGAAGAGCGGGTAAAGGTAGGCCAACTTCTCTAGGAGAGCGTGCAGTATTTCCTATCATTTCAGTGTGAAAAATGAACACCAACCAGAGTCTCTGAAGTGGCCTAGTGCCCAGCTAATAGTATAATTTATATTTTTTAGATTGTAATAGTTAACAGCGATTTATAAGTGCAATCCAACCAGATGTGTCTATATAAACTTGAAATATTTTTTCTTTAGTTGTAGCTACTTAAAAGGCCTGTTAGGCTATCATCCTATATAATAAAGAGCTAATATGCAAATGGTTGTTACACCCTCATGCAGTAACAGCTCAGACCCTCAATACCGGGGAGAAAGGAATGGGGACTAGCCAAGCTGCAGCCCAGGAGAGGATCAAGTTGCACACTCACGGTCCCAGGTGCCAGCGGCTGGGGCTGTGGCCCAGGAGAGGGACAAGCCATCTGCCCCGTGGTCCTGGGTGCCAGCAGCTGTGCCTTTGGTCCAGGAGATGGACAGCATGCACAGTCCCCGCAGTCCCGGGTACCAGCAGCTGGGGCTGTGGCCCAGGAGAGAAACAGCCGGCCTGGTCAAAGCCAGCCCCGGTCCCGGGTGCCTGCGACCGGCCAGAGGAGGGAATCCTGGATCCTGGGCAGGGCAAGGCAGAGGCGGTTAGAGGCGATCAAGCTGGCAAGGGTGCAGTTAGGGGTGATCAGGCAGGCAGGCAGAGGAGTTAGGGGAGATCAGGCAGGCAGGCAAGCAGTTAGGAGCCAGCAACCCAGATTGTGAGAGGCAAGTGGACATCCCCCAAGAGGCCCCAGATTGGAGAGGGACCCCCCCATCCTGTGTGCAAATTCTGTGCACCGGGCCTCTAGTCTATATATAATAAAAGCCCAAGTGACCATCTGACCACTACCTGTGATGTACAGTGACCGCCAGGGGGCAGACGCTCAGTGCAGGAGCTGCCAAATGGTTCTCAGGTGACACAACCAGAGAGGAGGGAGCCGGATTCTGGGTGCATCAACCGAGAACTGCCCTCTCAAAATCTAGACTCCTCTGGAGATGTTGGAGAGCCAATTTTGGCCCTATCCCTGCAGGCCAGATTGAGGCACAAATCTGTGCACCAGGCCTCTAGTTTTCTTACAAAGGGAGCCCTAAGGTGCTCTTTGTCTAGTCAATATTGCATTATTTTTTAAAGCTATAACATGGTGTTATAGAGATGTGCACTTTATATCTTGTGGTGGTTGGCTAATGCACAGAACTTGTTCACACTGGCATGTTTTCGGAGACTTTGCTGCCTGTTCTCGGAGGTAAACAGGATGTATTTTTTCTGCAACTCGCGCTGGGTGCTGCTTCTCAGGGAGCCTTGCATGCCTGCCGCCAGAACATGGCTCCTGAGCTCCCTCTGCTGGAGCTCTGCTTAAAAGAACCGCTTACATTTTCTCATTATGGAGATCTTATCCTGTTTCCTCGAAAATAAGACAGTGTCTTATATTATTTTTTTCTCCCAAAGTTGTGCTAGGTCTTATTTTCAAGGGATGTCTTATCCTTCCATGTGCTAGGTCTTATTTTCGGAAGATGTCTTATTTTCGGGGAAACAGTACTAACATTCATATACAGCTGTGCGAAGCTGTTCTTCACCACCTGGATTTTTATGAAGGGTTTACAAAAGAAAATACTGATTTAAATTTGTTGTAAAATGGGGGAAAGGAGCAATGTTGCAGATGCATAAATATTACCATTTGTAGATAATGGCATAAAATCAATATTTGCTACCTTTGCCTTTAAAATTGGTTTTAGATTTATGGGAATACAAAAGTTAAGATTTACTTAGCAATTTTGTTTGCTAATGTTTATAACAGAAATTCTGTTTTATCAAATAACCTTATACTTTTCCCTGTGTGTTAGATCTTTCAAAGGTTGATTTATGCAGACAAGCAAGAAGTTCAAGGAGATGGCCCATTTCTGGATGGAATTAATGTCACAATAAGAAGGAATTATATTTATGAGGATGCTTATGACAAACTTTCCCCAGAAAATGGTACGTATGTTTCTCTTATGTCATGTATGCATGTGGCAGGGGGCTGGGAGTCATTTTAGAAAAAGCTAATAATTTAAAAACAAGTGTCCATCATCTTGTCCTGCAGTGACTACTTAAAACTGAAATGTAGGGTTCACATTTGGGAGGTGCATCTTATCCAGTAAGATTGCTGGGACTGACAAATAATGATTGCTACACCAGCCTTTCAGATACTGAGTAGGCCTTCCGGCTTCCCTCTCTCCTCTCCCCTCTCCCCCATTGTCTGTCTCAAAAACGGAGCCGACGACCTGTAATTTCAGCAGTGGGAGGGCAGCCATGTACAGTCTGCATTTCGTATACAATTACCAGTTTATGTAAATGCCGTCCATTGTCAGACAAATGGAATGCACTAGGATAAAAACCATAGCAATCCAGACTTCTAAAGAAGTAGTGTGCTTTGATGGCAGTTCTGTCTGATAAAGGGGATTACATGTACCAATGATTTGGGCAGCATGTAGAGGTCAGTGACACATTTTCTCTTGGTTTAGTGTTTCACACCCAGGGTTAAAACTTTTGGTATTAATTTATATATGAATCATTTTAGTTTCTGAATATGGAGTCTATGATACTGCATTAACCAATGTTAAATCGGTGCAGGCTATTGAAAAGGAAGGCTGGCAGGACTCAGTCACAGGTCCGGTGGGAAATGACAGCACCTTTTCTTAGGAGGAGCAAGTTAATTCTCTGCCTGGAAAGCAGAACCTCTCATCTGAGTGGTTTTCTGTTTGCTTGTTTTTGGTTTCTGCTTTTCCGTAAAGAGCAAGCTGGTGTTGTCCTGTGGGAACAGTGAGGAGGGTCACATCGCAGGCCCTGGGCTCTGGCCCAGGCACTGCGTGCAGGTGCACTGGGTGTCTTCCCCTTCTCATTTAGTCTGCGCCACAGACCTTGGGCCGGACGCCAGGAGCTGAGATGGGTCACTCTTGCCTGGGCAGTTATGTTCTTAAGATGTTATGTATATAATATGAGTCTTCGTCTCACATGCTTTGGGGAGAAATAGTTCTTCCTCCTTTTGGGACCCATAGGCTGTTGTGAGTTCGTCGTGGTGGTTGTCACATCATATTCCCCGTCCAAGCCACCGAGTTCTGGGGAGGAACCCTACCCTGGCCCCGCACACTGCTGGCGGCCGTGGATGTGGCTGGATTTGGGGTTGAGCCTGGGGAGAAGACCATAGACACAGGGTGCAGAGCAGAGCCGAGAGGAGGATGGTGGTGGGCTTTATGAAGTGGGGGGACTTCATCTAGGACTTAGGGACAGGAGACAGGTCTACAGGTGAAGGTATAGCAAGGCTAGGCAGCCAGGCCACTGAGTCTGTCATGGTAGACGTGGGCTTACTGCAGGTGCAGCCCATGTGAGCACTTCACCCCAAATCAGTCTGTGTGCTTACCGTGAGTTTAGCTTTACAACCACTTCTTGTAGGTGATTTTTTTAAGGCATTGCTATTGCCCAGTTATAGGAAACCCAAATTATCTACTGTGTCCTTAAACTTAGAAATTATTCAAAGTTGATGATATTCCACCTCCTAAGTGCAGGCCGATAATTGCATTCAGTTTAATGGATTGGGAAAAATCTTCCCATAATATGTGTAATATGCATTATAATGCTTTAAATCTTTACAAATGTTCCTAATTCTTATTAGTACAAAATTTTAAACCATGTGTTAAAATTATTTAGTATTTTACTAGGCAAATTAGTAAAATTAAATTTTATCTTAGAATGTTTAATTTCTTAGTGAATCAGTTTCAAGTGCTCTGTTGACTAATCATTTGCATATAATCAATTAATATGATTACCCTATATTTCACCTAGTCATTATTTATTTATTTTTAAGAATAACAAAAAATATTTTACTAAAACATAAGATTTACAGAAGTTTCCAGACAAGCCATACAAAATGGTCACAAGCTTTTCTTGAAGGGGGGATTCTACATTTGACAGCTGTCATCTAGTCATTAAAACAGATCCTCTGTTTTAATGGATAGCAGACCTCTCATTCCATCTCAGGACAGTTTTCTGCAGTGTGGGTCCCAGCCCTTGTCCCCTGCAGGTTGGCAGGAGCTCGGAGAAGTGGAGTGGCTTCCCTCCACAGTTGGGCGCTGAGCAAATAGTGTCTCAGGCCCTGGCCCGGGGACCTCATTGCAGCCCTTCCCACGGGGACAGTGTGGGCTGGGCCTTGTCCATGGGTAATCTGGGGACTGTTCTGAGGGTCGGGATGGCATCACAGTGGCTCCTGATGTCCTCGTTGTCATGGTGACGGTGGCTGGGGCAGGCTGACCTGTGCCATGTCTTCTCCCAAGAGCCTCGCTTACCCCAGCTTTCTAGAATTACCTCCTTTACTGGGCTCAATTTATTACATTGTTTTCCTGAAGAGGAAAGAATATGAAGATAAAATCAAAGTAACCGCTCACTGAGTCTTTCCTCACTAAAACCTTCCTGTGTGCGTAGATACTCAAATTTGTCCTTAGGAACATGTAGTGCACATGAAGGTACTGCCTTCTGAACACATGCTGGGCTGTGGTCTTGCTGTTCACAGAGGTGACAGGAGCCACAGACTTCACTCAGCCCGTTAGGCGACGTGTGTGGATGGCACCATGTTTCAGAGACAGTGACCTCCTTAGGACAGCGTCCTGTAGCGTGAATCTTAGTCCCACAGCACAAGGTAGATAGTGGTTGAACATTTCCTACCCACAAAATTTTTACGCTTAGAAATTTTACAAAAAAATCTGCTGACAATGATAATGATCTTGAGAAATATTATCTATGACACATCCTCATAATACCCAGGTAAATGATGAAATAGTTCATCCCTATTTAAAGTATATTTTTATTTTTAAAATATATTTGTACTAGAGGCCCAGTGCACGAATTCATGCACAGGTGGGGTTCCTCGGCCTGGCCTTCAATTGGGGCTGATCAGGGAGGAAGGAGGATTCCCTGCTGGCCTGGGGAGGAACCGTATGAGGTTGGCTGGCTGCGAGAGGTTTGCTGTGAAAGTGTTCTGTGGGTGCCAGGGAACAGCTCCTGCTTTGAGCATCTGTCCCCTTGTGGTCAGTGCAAGTCATAGCGACTGCTTATTCAGTTGACTGGTGGTAACAGTCACTTAGGCTTTTATATATATACTAGAGGCCTGGTGCACAAAATTCCTGCACGGGGGGTGGGGGGGTTCCTCAGCCCAGCCTGCACCCTCTCCAATCTGGGACCTCTCAAGAAATGTTAAACTGCCCACAGGGATAGGGTCTAAATGGGCAGTTGGACATCCCTCTCACAATCCAGAACTGCTGGCTCCCAACTGCTCACCTGCCTGCTTTCCTGATTGCCCCTAACCGTTTCTGCCATCCTGATCACCCCCTAACCACTGATGTCTAACTGCTTCCCTGCCAGCCCGTTTGCCCCCAACTTCCCTCTTCTGCAGGCCTGCCACCCTAACTGCCCTCCCCTACAGGCTTGATAGCCTCCAACTGCCCTCTCTTGCAGGCCTGGTGCCTCCCAACTGCCCTCCCCTGCTGGCCACTTGTTGTGGCCATCTTGTGTTCACGTAAGGGCAGAATCTTTGACCACATGGGGACAGCTATTGTGGGTTGGAGTGATGGTCAATCTGCATATTTCTTTTATTAGATAGGATAGACTGCAGGCGTCTTCAAACTACGGCCTGCGGGCCACATGCGGCCCGCAGAGGAGTCTGATCCGGCCCGCCAGGTTTTTTGGGCAGTGAGCGCAGCCGAGGTGTTACAGTAGGAATTAGTGGTTCATATAGTCTGGCCCTCCAGCTCTCTGGGGGACCGTGATCTGGCCCCCACTTTAAAAAGTTTGAGGACTCCTGGGATAGAGGCTCGGTGTATGGGTGGGGGCCAGCTGATTTGACCTGAATAAGGGTGCCCTGGATCAGAGTGGGGTTCCCTTAGGGTGTGGGGTGGCCTGAGCAAGGGACCTGTGGTGGTTTGCAGGCCAGCCACGCCCCCCAGCTACCCAAGCAGAGGCCCTGTATCTGGAATTTATTTACCTTCTACGATTGAAACTTTGTAGCCTGGAGTGGAGCCAAGCCTGCTGCTCACTAGGCTGCTGCCATTTCTGTTTGGTTTTATGTATCTTCTGTACTTGAAACTTTGTAGCCTTGAGTGGAGGCCTGGGCTGGCCACGGCAGGTGGAAAGCTTTGCTTTCTCCATTGCAGGGAACAACCCTAGCCTGTTCTCTCCAGCTCCGTGGCTGGTGGCTGTCGCCATTTTTCTTGGGATTTATCTTCTATAATTGAAACTTTGTATCCTTGCGTGGAGGCCTAGGCAGGCCAGGATGTGTGGAAAGCTTAGCTTCCTCTATTGAAACTCAAGCCTCTCAACTGTTCTCTGTGGCTGCAGCCATCTTGGTTGGGGTTAATTTGCATAGTCACTCTTATTGGCTGGTGGGTGTGGCTTGAGAATACTGATGGTTAATTTGCATTACTTTTTTTTTTTTAAATATATTTTATTGATTTTTCACAGAGAGGAAGAGAGGGGGATAGAGAGTTAGAAACATCGATGAGAGAGAATCATCGACCAGTTGCCTCTTGCACACTCCTCCCTATTGGGGATGTGCTTGCAACCAAGGTACATGCCCTTGACTGGAATCGAACCCAGGGCCTTTCAGTCCACAGGCCGACGCTCTATCCACTGAGCCAAACCGGTGCTGGCTGCATTACTTTTTTATTAGATAGGATAGATTGGCTTCAGAGAGGAAGGGAGAGAGAGAGAGAAAGAAGGGGGGAAAAATCACTGAATCTGATCAGCTGCACATCCCCTCCTGAGGATTAAGCTTACAACCCTGGCACATGCCCTGACTGGGAATTGAACCGTGACCTCCTGGAACATTGGTTGATGCTCAACCACTGAGCACGCCGGCCAGGCTAGCCCACCCTTTGCTGGGTATTATGAGAACGTGTAAAGGCGAGCAGGCCAGCTGCAGCTTTGTGCGGCAGCTGTGGTTATGTTTGGGTTGCTTTTGGCATTTCACTAGAACTGGAGATTGGACATATTTTATAATCATATCAATCAAAATACTAGAAACAAATAACTATTTGTGGAACTTGACAGTCAGTGAAAGCTTGTTCTTCCTGTAAGTGGAGTGAAATTTTAAAACTGGAAGAATGTGTTTGAGTAGAGAAGAAGCAGGCGCATCTCCAAGGCCGGCCCGTGTGCTCGCCTGGTGCCAGGCAGCCCACCGGCCAGAATTGGGGTTCTGACCCAGAGTGGTTAGAGGAGCAGAAGTGCGGGAATCTAGCTCGGGGTGGATGCTCAGCGCGGGCTCCTTTGTGGAGTGTGGGGCGTGGCTTGGGTTCGCCTTCCCCGAGGTCGTGTGGGCTTTAGGAAGAACTTGCCTGGCTCCCCTGGTGCAGCTGTGGTCCCTGCTCGGGGGTTAGCCCAGTGGTCGGCAAACTCATTAGTCAAAAAGAGCCAAATACCATCAGGACGACGATTGAAATTTCTTTTGAGAGACAAATTTTTAAACAACTTCTAACGCCACTTCTTCAAAATAGACTCACTCAGGCCGTGGTATTTTGTGGAAGAGCCACACTCAAGGGGCCAAAGAGCTGCATGTGGCTCAGGAGCCGCAGTTTGCCACCCACGGGGTTAGGTGACTGTTCGGTGAGACTGTGCTGCGTGTGAGGGCCCAGACTGTAGGCCACACTGGAAGTTGTGTTCAAAACACTGGAACATTTCACACCAGGTTCTTTGACTTCCTGTGTATCTTGGGGTGGGAGGCTCTCGTCCATATGTCGCGCTCCCACCTCTCTGCACAGCACCTGGAGAGCGCAGGACGGGGAGGGAAGGGCTTGTGCCAGGATGCGCTTAGTCACTCCGATTGGCTGGTGGGCGTGGCTCGAGATTGGGTGCCAGGATGCTGGTGCCAGAGGGAAGCCTGCTGTGCTCAGGGCGGCCTGCCGGGATGCGTTAGTCCTCCCCAGGTGGTGCTGTCCCCAGGAGACCTGTGTGTGTGGGTGGGAGGGGGGAGGGTTTCCTCTCATTCCATCCCAGAAATGTCTCCTTTTCAGCCAAGTGTCTGTTTTAAATGGTGGTGTGGATTCTGGTGGGCTGCCCCCCTGTGGCATTGGCCTTGGTCACAGGGTCGTTCATTTCGCGGATATCTTTATTCATTTACTTTTTGGCCTTCTTGATAATAATCTCTGATCCCATGTTATCCTCGTGTTCTAATTCCCCTCCCTCCTCTTGGGGCATCTTTGTTTCATTGCCCCAGGAACAAGCTGGGACTGATTCCTCATCTCCCCATCTGAAGCCCCAGCTCCGCTGTGGATGCAGAGGCACTGACCTCCTCCTCGTTGAGGGCTCGGGGACACGGTGTAGAACCCTGCACTCACGCGCCTCTGTTGTTCTTGCTGTTCCCATCCAGAGCCTGACCTGAAGAAGCGCATCCGCGTCCACCTGCTCAACGCGCACGGCCTGGACGAAGCCGGCATCGACGGCGGCGGCATCTTCCGGGAGTTTCTGAACGAGCTGCTGAAGTCGGGCTTCAACCCTAACCAGGGCTTCTTCAAGACGACGAACGAGGGCCTCCTGTACCCCAACCCGGCTGCGCAAATGCTCGTGGGGGACTCCTTCGCCCGACATTACTACTTCCTGGGCAGAATGCTTGGAAAGGTAACACGGCTCGCGGGGACGGCCTCCAACCAGGGGGTGACCTTCTATACGTGTGGGTGGTGGCCGGTGGTTTCCTGGAGACCTTCATTCAGAACTCTTATGTGATTTGGTGAGCCCTGAAGAGCACTTTCCACTAATAACTAAAGCTCATCTGTATACTTGACATACACAGTAGTTACTCATAGGGGAATTGCTGGATGGTGCCAAAAACATGGGAAACATGCCATGTGATTGTGTTTCTCGAAGGACCGCAGGGGCATGCCGCACGTGGCATCTCCTCCCGGGGCCTGGTTGGTAATAGTGTGCACATGATTCTGGTCGGGTTCTAATAATTGCACAGCGTGTGGGGCAGAGACCGTCGTGCAGTGTGGTGCATGTGCGTGTGCATGTGCAGGTCTATGAACACTGGCCCCGGGGAGCCCTCGGGCTACCTCTGCCGAACATCCTACAAAGGCAACTTGATGGTAACGGGAGGGAAGAGATGACATAGCCCAGTGGAGACTTCCTGTTTAATGTGCAGCTTTCAAAACACACCCTCCGTTCCAGTCAGAACAGGACGGGGCCTCCTCATGCCAGGCTCCTCTCACTGACCTCTGTGGGCTGGTCAGGCTGGCTGGCTTAGAAACAACCGAAATTCGCTTCTCCCAGTTCCAGAGGCTGAACGCCTGGAGGGTGCCACGTGGTGTCGTCTGCCGGGCGCCGCTTCCTGGTTCATAACCATTACCCTCTCACTATGTGCGCATGCAGTGGCGGGGAGGGGACCTCCCATGAGGGCGCTGACCCTGTTCTTAGGCTCCACCCTCATCACCTCATCACCTCCCAAAGGCCTCACCTCGTAATGCCATCACCTGGATATTAGGATTCAGTGTATGAACTTGGGGGGCAGTCCCTCAGACCCAGTGCAGCCTGTAGGGGTGCCATGTGGAGAGCAGGAGGAGGGTGTCAAGTCCATGTCAGGAAAGCAGTTTGGGTGTTTGTTTGTTTTCTCTTTTATTAAACTTTTTTTTATTGATTTCAGAGAGGGACAGAGAGATAGAAACATCAGCGATGAGAGAGAATTATCGAGCACCTGCCTCCTACTCGTCCCTCCCTGGGCATCAAGCCTGTAACCCAGGCATGTGCCCTGACTGGGATCAAACCCTGACTTTCTGGTTCAGGAGTTGACATTCAATCACTGAGTCAGGCTGGGGGGGTGGGGGGGGGTTGTTTTTGTTTTTTTCTTTCTCGTTGATTACTGACATTTTACTAATGGGAAACAGTTACAAGCAGGGTTACATTTATAGGTTATTTTGTTTGCTTTTTCATACTCTAACTAAATTTAGTGTTGGTAATTGCTAATCCTAGCATGATATTTTACTGTAGGAGCTCCCACGCAGGGAAGCCAATGGCGAGTGGTGGAGGGGGGATTCCCACCTTGGACAGGTGGGCTAGGGGCTTATCTAGCAGAGGGGAGAGGGTAGGGAGCCGTGCTAGGGAGGCCTGTGTGCAGGCCAAGACCAGATAGGGAGTCTGGTGAGGCTTGTTAGTGGGAAACGCTCACATCTTAGCTGTTCTGCTCCTTGTGGCCGCTGGCCAGATGGACACCATTCCACTGACTAGAAGGGAGAATTGGGCCATACCCTCGCTTAACCCTAAATTCCACCCCACTATCACCTACTCTACCTCACAGTCTACGCACCAGCCTTCCAGTAGCAGACCTGTGTGGTTAGGGCATTAGCACATTGCATTCAAGCCCTGGATGCAGTATTGTCTAGAATAGGGGTGTCGAACTCAATCAGAGAAGGGGCCAAAATCTAAAATCCAGCCTAAATCGTGGGCCGAATGGTTTACTGAACAGTCATAAACTGTCATTGTGATGGAAACGCAGCGGAGTGCAGTGATGACAGCGTGGTGCGGGCCACATTGCAAGGCCTGGCGGGACGGATTTGGCCCGCGGGCCTTGTGTTTGACACATGTGGTCTAGAAGCTCAGAGTAATAACAAGAACAAGAGGAAGAGACCCACAACCCTAACGGAGGAGAGATGGCCCCCACAGGTCCTGCAGACCCAGAGGTTCCCCTGAGGGAAGGGAACACACCCACCCGGAAGCTGTCCTGCTTTCCCAGAGGTGGGGCATGCCGTTCCACAGGTGCAGGTGGCTCCATTCAGCCAGGGTGAGTGGCTCGTCTTCCAACGCAGACCAGCAGTAGTAGGCTCTGTCTGCACCCCGAGCCACAGAGCCACAGTGCGGCCTGTCTTGCATGCACTAAGGAGGCTAAGACAAGTGTCAAGTAGGCCCCAACGGAAGTAAGTCAGGAAGAATACCAATATTACCAGTTATACTGCCTGTAGGAGCAAGCCTTGGGCGAGACCCTCCCCCATGGGGCTAGGAGAGCACACCACAGGTACCAGTTTGAGTCTCCCAGGCCAGGTTAATACTCGAGCTCCAGTTCAGAGGCGGCTGCCTCATTTGTTTTCATTGTTGGACTGACTACGTTTTAGAGCAGGCGTCCTCAAACTTTTTAAAGTGGGGCCCAGATCACGGTCCCTCGGAGAGCTGGAGGGCCGGACTATATGAACTACTAATTCCTACTGTAACACCTCGGCTGCGCTCACTGCCCAAAAAACCTGGCGGGCCGGATCAGACTCCTCTGCGGGCCGCATGTGGCCCGAGGGCCGTAGTTTGACGACGCCTGTAATTTAGAGGGAGTCTTGGTCCCACCAGGTGGCGGCTGGATTGCAGCAGTGTTGTGGTAAAGGCGTGTGAGGGCTACAGCAACTTTACTGAGACCTGACTCACCCACCATGCAGCTCACCTGGTCCAGGTGGTTTCAGCACATTCACCGCCAGCCCCATGCACCATGGAACATTTTCACCACATGCATCCTCTGACGCCCCCCGCTGACAGTGCTCCCTGCCTTCCGTCTGCATGACACACTCGCTCTGCACATGTCCCGTAAACCACGTCGGGTGCTGCGGCCTCTGGTGGTGGCTTGTTCAGCACGCCTGTTTCCAAGGGCCCTCCACGTTGTAAGGTGCTACTACCTCACCCCTTTTCAGCCAGGCTCCCTGTCGGGCCGCCCCACAAGCCCACCAGTGGGCTCGTGGGGTTGTCCTTGGGGAGTTTCTATCACCACAGCACCCGGACAGAAATGCGTGCCTGGGTGGAGGAAGAGGCCTGGAAGTGGGAAGTGCCGGGACCTGTGAGCGGGGGCCTGGGAGAAGGCCTGCTATAAAGGGCAGCAGAGGACACCTCTAGAAAGAGCAAGTCCCAGGATGGTGGGAGGCTCCTCCTGCATGGGCCCCTCGTCCCAGCACCATTGAATGTGAAGCCTCCCTGGCCCCTGGCGGCCTGGCGCCTCGCGGAGAATGAGTTCATCAGACAGGGGCGGTTTCTTCCCACGGGTGCAAATCTTCATGGCCTTGGATTGGACAATGGTTTCCTAGATAAGATACCAAAAGCACGGGCAGCAACATAAAAAAATATAGAATTCATGAGAAGTAAAAATGTGTGCTCCACCCTAGCTGGTTTGGCTCAGTGGCTAGAGCGTTGGCCTGTAGACCAAAGGGTTCTAGTTTCAATTCTGGCCAAGGATATATATACCTTACCCAAGAGGCTCACGCAGGATGCAACCAATCAATGTGTTTCTCTCACATCAATGTTTCTCTTAGTCTTCCCCTTTCTCTTTCACTTTCCCTGAAAATCAATGGAAAAATATCCTCAGGTGAAGATGAACCAAAAAAAGAGAAAGTAAATGGAATTAGTTGGGGGGCGGGCATTTTATGCTATTTATTAAAAATATCCTTTTACACTCCTATTGATTATATATTCCTATAGATTATACTTTTCACATAGCTCTGCATTTCTCCTATAGATGGTTGGGTTTTTTTGTTCTTTCATTGCTTAGGCCAGTGGTGGGTAAACTCATTAGTCAACAGAGCTAAATATCAACAGCACAACGATTGAAATTTCTTTTGAGAGCCAAATTTTTTAAACTTAAACTACTTATAATGCCACTTCTTCAAATAGACTTGCCCAGGCTGTGGTATTTTGCCAAAGAGCCGCATGTGGCTATTCGTATCAAAAAAAAATTTTTTTTTTAAAATATATTTTATTGATTTTGTACAGAGAGGAAGGGAGAGAGATAGAGAGTTAGAAACATCGGTGAGAGAGAGTCATCGATTAACTGCCTCTTGCACACCCCCTACCAGGGATATGCCCCCAACCAAGGTACATGCCCTTGGCCGAAATCGAACCCGGGACCTCTCAGTCCCCAAGCCAACGCTCTATCCATTGAGCCAAACCGGTTTTGGCTCGTATCAAAAATTTTAAAATGTTTACAACATTGCTTAGTGTTCTCTGCCATCCTCACTCTTGGGATTTTTCTGGGTGCATATTGTCAATGGCAGGTGGTCCTGAAGCCCAGCATCCCCCCACAGGGGTGTTGGGGGAGCAGTACGTCCTGGGCACGAACACTGCCCCTGATGCCTGTGTCTGTGAGACGCATCGTCATGGGCCCAGGTCCTGTGTACCCGCCCAGATACCAGACGCCGCTGCTCAGCTTGGGTTTATTGTTCTTCGACGCTGTGATAGCCTCCAGGCTGGCCTGGATCTGCCATGCGTCTTCCTCCGGGCTCACCTTCCTACCACTTAATTTCCACGGCGAACTGCGGACGCCGCCCGGCATTGGATTTTTGAGCATGAATTCCCAGCAGGCCCCTTTCTCTCCACCTGGAGCCGTGTGCTGGTCGTGGGGTCTGTGCCCAACAGATTGTCCTTCACACTCACCTCATCTGCCTTGAGGATGCACGCTTCATAACTCACTGTGTGAGAACCTCTGCAGTTTCATGTGCCATAGTTCTTTCTGTGAAGTCAAGCCCCACACCTGCTCAGTTAACAGTAATAAAATACACTTAAAGTAAGGGGAGCTTTGACTTTGCTAGACTCTCCTGAAACACGCCCCAATGCTGTGGTTCTCACACAGGGCAGTGACAGGCAGCAGGAAGGCATTTTACTGCCTG